TGACAAACCAACAGCCAACATCATACTAAATGGACAAAAACTGAAAGCTTTCACTCTAAAATCAGACACAAGACAAGGATGTCCACTACCACCACTCCTACTCAATATAGTTCTGGAAACATTAGCCAGAGCAATGAGACAAGAGAGAGAAATAAAAGGAACATGGATAGCAAAGGAAGAAGTTAAATTGTCAATATTCACAGATGACATGACACTTTACATAGAAGACCCCCAAAACAGCAAGACTTCTTGATTTACTAATTCAGTAGCATAGCTACTGAACGCTCAAAAATCAATAGTATTTCTATACACAAACTCACAGAAACAAATTAGGGAAACCACACCCTTCACAATAGCAGCCCCAAAAATGAAATACTTAGGTGTCAATCTAATGAAGAATGTAAAAGATCTATACATTGAAAATTACAGTACTCTGAAAAAGGAGATTGAAAAGGATATCTGAAAATGGAAAGGTATCACTTGCTCATGGATAGGAAGAACCAACACAGTGAAAGCTGCCATACTCTCAAAATTGTACAGATTTAATGTGACTCCAATCAAAATACCATTAGCATAGCTCACAGAACTACAGAAAACATTCCTAAAATTCATCTGGAAACAGAAGAGACCTAGAATAAATAGTAAGGGCAATTCTGGGCAACAAAGGCAAGGCAGGAGGCATCACAATCCCTGACTTGAAATTATACTACAAAGCTACTGTGATAAATTCAGCATGGTACTGGCAAAAAGTGGGGGGGGGGGAGAGAGAGACCTGAGGATCAGTGGAATATATTAGAAGACACAGACACAACTACAAACACACTCAGCCACCTTATCTTTGACAAAGGTACCAAACATGTTCACTGGAAGAAACATACCCTTTTAAATAAACAGTGGTGAGAAAAACAGCTCTCTACATGGCAAAGACTAAAACCAGACCCATGTCTATCACCATGCACTAAATTAAAGTCAAAATGGATCAAAGACCTAAATATTAAAACAGAAACACTGAATCTACTGGAAGACAAAGTAGGTAGAAATCTCAAAAACAAAGGTGTAGGCAGAGACTTCATGAACAAAACCCAAACTGGAAATACTCCAATGAATCAACAGCTGGGATCTCACCTTATTAAAAAGCTTTCACACATCAAAAGAAATCACCAACAGAGTGAACAGACAACCCACAGAGGGAAAAAATTTTAGCCAACAGTCCCTCAGACAAAGGACTTATATCGAGAACATACAAATAATTGAAAAAAAAAGTGTGACCCCCCCCAAATTTAAAGATGGGCATCTGAGATGAATACGCACTTCTCAGATGAAAAAATATAGATAAGAAATAAATATATGAAAAAATGTTCAACATCACTGGTCATTCAAGAGATACAAATTAAAACAACACCGAGATTCCATCTCACCCCAGAAAGAGTAGCTGTCATCAAGAAATCAACCAATAACAAATGCTGGAGGGGCTATAGTGAAAAAGGAACCATTCTCCACTATTGGTGGGAATGTAGACTGGTGCAACTACTGTGGAAATCAGTGTGGAGATTCCTCAAAAAGCTAAGATTAGTGGTCCCATTTGACCCAGCTATTCCCTTTGTGGGTATTTTCCCAGAAGAATTAAAGACATCACACCACAGCGATATATATGTGCACCCATGTTTACAGCAGTACAATTTGTCATAATTAAATCTTGGAAACAACCCAAATGCCCATCAACCGAGGAATGGATGAATAGGATGTGGTATTTTTATACAATGGAGTACTACTCAGTTATAAAGAAGGATAAACTTGAGACTTTTATAGGTAAATGGATGCAACTTGAGACCATACTGATAAGTGAAATAAATCAGTCTTGCATATGTAAACATCATATTGTCTCCCAGGTGTAAGAAGCTGAAATAGTAAATAAGATCCAAAAGGTGCAATACATATTGGGAAATGGGAAGAAATTGCTCAAAAGGAAAGAGAAACTGGGATGGGGGAAAGGAAAAAAAAAGGGAAAAGGAAAAGGAAATATATACATATATAATATTATAGTTAAGATAGCTGTACTGCTAATTTCCATTAGTTCATTAAAAAGAAACATTTGTGCTTATATTGTTTGATCAATTTTTCATGCCTATATCTTACAATCTGAACAACTGCATTGAAGACAACAATAAGCAATGGACTAACCATTGCTACTCTCCCACTATAGTTTTCAAATTTTGTATCATTGCTTTTACTCTTTAAAAGAAAAAAAAAAGCCTCTGGGAAGCAAACAGACAATTCCAGCAGCAGCAAGGAAGACTGTCCAGGTGAGACAAGGCCAAGAAAGACTGGAGAGCCAAGGAGCCTATCCACCATTGCTCAGGTCAAGTTAACAAAACCAGGAAAAGCTGCAGATCTGCAGGGCTAGAAAGCATCTCCACAAGACCTTGAAAAGACAAGTCAGCCTACAGGAAAACCACCAAACACGTTTTTTAAACATAAAAATACCAGCTGCACCATCTCACCCAGGTCATCTACATTACCTCTGCTGTAGTCTGGGCAGATCCTATAGGGGCACTTCCCATACCACCAGGCAAAGGTCTCCTAAAGGTGGATCTGGACCCTGCTAAAAGCGGACCTCTAAGAGCTCGGTGGACAGAGCAGAGCTGTGGCTCCCATTCTGACCTGTGGGTCTCCTCCAGTCCTTTGAACTGCCCGCCTAGGTTAGTGGTTTTCCAGACAACCTGCTCCACCTTCTCTCCCTGCAAGGCCTAACTGAACCCAGTCACCACAGTCACTCCAAGCCCACCATCATCCCAATGCCACCAATTCCACCTGCCCCAAACCCCCAGCACTTTGGAATCCAGTACTCTTTCAATCTCACTAAGACCTGCAATCTACAGAATCTGCTACATATCAATGTCGCTAATCCCTCCTTCTCTGTTCTCCCCTGCACAATTTAATTTCTACAGTCCACTGTTGTAATCACTCCTTTACACATGCTCTCTCAACTTCCTTGTGCCTCTCTCCCCTACTTGCCTGAAAGAGCCTACCTCCAGTACCTATGCCTGCAGTCTGTCTAGAACTTCATGTGGTCAGAAAACCCATGGGACCAGGTGACAGGTCTGCACTTTAAATTCACAACCTCTAACCTTAAGAGAAAAAATCAGAGCTGCACGGTGATTGTACCAACTCTTCCCACTCCAACCACTCTCCCAGACTCATTCCTTCTCCTCTCCTGGCCCTCCCACAACACTTCCAACATCTCTGTTCTCAGTGGATGACCTTAGTTTCTGAGCATTGAGAACACAGAAGCAATCAGGGGACCTTCCATAAGCTCCTTCCACACCATCCATCTAACCAGCACTGTGTGCTCCTACCCAGGCCAGCACCTCCACCTGTGCTGGAGATCCCACCCTTCACTCCCCTAAAGGCATCACTGGAAGCACTTTTCTCTCCTGCATCCACAGGTCTTCTCTTAAATCAAGTACAATCTCCTGTATTTAACCACTGTCTTGCCTCCAGCTCTTTACTGTACACCTCATTTCCCCAGAACTCTTTTCCTATCTTGCACCCGGTTCCCAGCCCATTTACCACAATAACACTCATGTAGCTAACACCCAGTGCTGATTCTCAGTGCGAAACTTATCTGACCCAACAGCAGGAGATGAGAGTTGCTGTCTTCTCTCTTGACTTGCATTTTTACCTGTCCAGAACAGACAGCACACTCTCCTGATTTCACAATAGCTTTAGCTCCCTGACCTTGAAAACTGAAGGCCCCAGGCTTAGTGCTTAGCTTCTTCACTCTCTGTGCCCTCACAGTCGTTTGGCTTTATACTTTTATTTCTCCCATCCCAGTTTTATTTAGGCATAACTGATGAATAAAAATTGTACAGTTTCAAAGTACACAATGTAATGATTTGATATACATGTACATTGTAAACTGAGTTCAACACCAAGAGAATTAACACATCCATCACCTCACAGATGCCATTTGTGTATGTGTGGAGGACGCATAGGCACATAAGATCATGTGGCTTTAAAGACCAGCTAAATGCTGACGGCCTCCATCTTTGTGCATTCGAGGCTTCTTCTCAGTCCCCTACCTGACCAGCTACCCATGTGTAGCTATATAGATAGCTATATATCTCATACATACACACAGATCTCAGACCTCACTCATCAACACAGGTCCTGATCATCCTGCAAAACGCACATCTTTCGTGGTGTTTGCCTCTTGATAAACAGCCATCTGATAATCAGCCACCAATCCTTGATGGCTCTATCTTCGTGTTTTTTATAACCTCTTTTGTTATGTTGGTCCAGAACCTCATCTCACATCCAAATCACTCACAACTTGTAACCGACTCCTCATTTCTTCCCTGGCCCCTCACAGCTGATACCCAACAAGGTACCCAGAATAACTTTAAAACATCCAAGTCAGATTATGCTTCCGCTTGGCTTGAAAACTCCTAAAGATTTCCCTTCCCCATTGGAGAAGTCAAAGTCTTAGCACCACTTCTAACCCCATCTCTGGGCCTTCGCCTTCACCTCCTCTCCCTCTCTCTTTCCTTCAGTTGGTTCCAGGCACACAGAGCTCCTTGCTGGTCCCTCATACCTGATGCCTCTACCTGGATGTTGTAGCTACCAGGGGGGTCTAACTCCTTCACCTGCTTCGCCTCTCCAGACTCCATCCCGACCTGATTTTTCTCCGTGGCACTTACCACCTTCTATGTAATCTTATTATTTGCCTGTCTTTAGAATGCAAGCTCACTTGATCCGATGTGTGTCTCTTATCTGTTCACTGCTACCAGAACAATTCCCACACACAAGTAAAAACCAAAGGACCGTTTTCTGAGTGAAAGAACGAAGAAATGGATGAAATGGGGAATAATGAAAGGATACGCAGAGCGTGCTTATCGTCCAAAGCAAGCACCGAGACGCCTCAGCAGGAAATGAGGACTCCGAGTGCTAACCCAGAGCTACTGAGGAATAGACGCCACAGCTTGGGTGAGGATGCTCGCCTGCCCCGCCTGGAGTCCGGGAGATCTCAGCTTCTGAGCACAGTCTAGCCAGGAACTGACTGAGGGACCTCGCCTTCCTGGGGCCGCGGGCGCACCATAGGAAGAGCTCTGCGCACCCACGTGGAGCGGCCACAGCCACCGCCACGCGCAGCGCTGCCCACATTCACTGGCTCCTCAACGGCCTCCATCCTACACCCACGTGCTCGGCACCGGCCACGGTCCACGCACCTACCTGCACTCACCGGCGCGCCGAAAGCTCCACAGCCTAGGCGGGCTTCCGGCAGGCCCCCTGCTTCAGGTACGCGCCAGTCCCGCCTTCGGGCAAGCGGCGCTTCCCATTGGGCAAGAACTGTCGCGTCCTCCCACCGACCAATGGCAAGCGGCTGCCGCGCGGAGGGTGTGCCCAGCCTGAGCGCGCGGTGGTGGCGTCATCTTGAGGAGACTTTGGTTACCCGGAGAGGCTCGGGTTGCCAGGGTAACTTACCCTTCCGGGGACGCTGGCAGGCGGATTGGCTAGAAGCTCCATCTGCGGCGTACAGTTGGGGGCTCTCGCTGTTGGCGTCCTGCTCCTGCTGAATTTTTAAAAGCCAGGGTGCACAAGGACTGGTAATAAAAAAACAAAAGCAGAGTAGGGATGGTTACCGTAGCGCTTGTCACCACTTAAAACATCAACAGTATTAGGAACTCTGACATACACAAAGATAATGAAGATGTGTCTGCAAGGACTGCAGCTCAGGTGAGAGGTCACCTGGAGGTCGGGGCTGGCAATGCGGTGGCCTGGCGCCATCCGGTCTGAGGTCAACCCGGACTCGAAGACCAACATTCTGTTTAGTCCTTCAATTCTTAGAAATAGTAATGTTGTCGGATGTGGTGACACACGCCTGTAATCCTAGCTACACAGTGGTTTTAGGCAGTAGGATTGCAAGTTCAAACCTATTCAGGGCAAGTTAATGAGATCCTGTTTCAAAATAATGCAAATAAATAGTAAATTAAAGGGCTAGGGTTGTAGCTCAACAATAGAGCACCTACTTGCCTGGCATGTATGAGGTCCTGAGTTCCATCCCTAGCACTGGAAAAAGAATTCTGGACTCATTGTCCTACAGGATGTCAGATAAAAAGCAAAACAGAAATAAATGAGAGAAAAAGAAAGTCTGATTTATGGCATGAGAGTGGTATTTTAGTAGTAAACTATAAAGCCAACAATCAGAAGAAAAAGGGAACCAAGGAACATTAGCTTGACATTTAGGGCCATCTTCACTCAGGGATAGTGGGTTCTGGAAGAGGCAGCTGAGAAGCTGACGTCCTGGATGAGGTTTCGGACAGGTCCATGGCTCCAGGGACAGGAGACAGGTGTCCCATCTTTGGGTTGGAATTGGGAAAAGCTGCAGAATAGGGGGAAATTGAAAGCAGTAGTAGACTAACCCTTGGGGGACTTAATGAAATTCACCTGAACTTGTGAAACTGCATTTCTGTGAGTCAGGATTTATTACTGGTACCACTAGATAGGTGAGATGAGAAAAGGCAAATTTTAGAATGTGATACTGCTTGCCTCAAATTATAATTGCTTATGGATTACATCCAGAACCCCATAGAAAGCAGCCGTGTACCTAAAAAGACAACACTTTTTTAGTTTTCGTTTTTATTCTTTTATGAGACAAAAGTTTTGCTGTGTAGTCCGGGCTGGCCTTGAGAACTTGAGATCTTCCTGCCTCAGCCTAATGAGGACTGGAATTATAAGCATGTACCACCACAACTGGTGAAAGGAACACTGTCAAAAATCAGGAAAAACAATGTATGGTTTCCTTGCACAGCGCATTGGTAATCTAACTCATACTGGAAACAGTGATTTCATGGGTCACAGGGGGCAGCTTCAGTCACTTGTCAATGTGAGGTGCAATGGTCAGGGTCTCAGTCTCTGCAGGGCCCGTGACACATGGCTTTCCTTGCATGGTGAGTTGTTCTGCATGGCAGAAGGCTTGGCTTCACTACAGAACAAGGGACTTCTTGGTGTTTGCATACACATGACATGTTGGGTCTTCCAACTGCAGGGCAGCCTGCCTTATAGTCCCCATGTGCTGCAGAGCATTCTTTTGCTGTGAACCTGACTCAGAACTTAAAATCAGCTAGGTGTGGTGGTGCATACCTGTAACCTCAGCTGGTCATGAGGCTGAAGCAAGAGAATATCAAGTTCAAGGCCAGCCCAGGCAATTCCACGAGACCTGTCTCAAAAGAAAAACAAAAAACAGCTGGACATGTAGTTCAGCACTCCCTGCATTCAATCCCCAGAATCATATCAATCAATCAATCAATAAACATCCAAGCTACCCAACAAATTAGTTGTGGCCATATGAAAGATGACCTATGTGACCTCCAAACTCCAAAGCACTGAGAGCAACAACACTCCCACTTAATAGTAGAAGACTGCTCCTGTGTTCCATTTCTGCACCCCAAATGAACACAAGATATAGCAACCCAGAACATTTCTTTTCTCCCATCCCTTGGGTCAGGACTGTGGGCAAAGTGTCTTCCCATCACTTCTGCTGTGTCCTATTCACAAAGCCAGCTCATTCAGGGTGAGGGGTCAGCAGGAAGTAGGCATAACCAGGGGCCACATGAGAAGCTCCCTGTCTGCAGGGGAGGAGGTGCAATGGTCTGATCCCAGAACACCGAGGGGACATTCTGTCCTGTCCAGACCATTGGATATGAAGGGCTTCACTCATGGCTGAACAGTGACATTCAGGAGTTCACATCCTCTTCCCTGACATACACAGGTCCTGCTAGGGCCCCCAGAGTATTTGCCACCTCTCTGAACCAGGTCTGACTAGCATGATGTCATCAATATGGCTGGTCACTAGAATGTCCAAACAGATGATGTCCCTTTAGATAGCACCAATTTGGACACTGCACAGAGATTTGAGGTCTGACTAGCATGATGTCATCAATATGGCTGGTCACTAGAATGTCCAAACAGATGATGTCCCTTTAGATAGCACCAATTTGGACACTGCACACTTACAGACTATAACAGCACATAGGAGTCAACACTAGACAAGGCAATAAATGTGACTCTTTGTCCCTCCCTTGTGAATAGACATGGCTTTCAATTCTCTTTTTTGATCAATAGTCACATGCCAGATGCAGGGGCATCCTGGCCACTGTTAGAGGCTGCCAATCAGCTGGTGACAGACTTGCCATCAGTCACATGGTCCACATGGAGCCGTATATCTTTCTGTATCTGAAGGATTCTAGATATTTGCACAAGACATCTATGACTTAAATAGTTTTTTTTGTTTGTTTTTTTTTTTGGTTTTGGTTTTTTGGTTTTTCTCCGGTACCGGGAACCGAACTCACAACCTTGCGCTTGCCAGGCAGGCGCTTTTGCCGCTGAGCTAAATCCCCAGCCCCTAAATAGTTTTTTTAAAATGGATTTTGGCAGCATGGTCAGACCGTTTTTGTGCTGTTAATTGTTTTTTAACCTATCATTATATTATTATAGACGTATTGACAAAGGAAATGTTGTTTGGCTACTGCTGCTAGTGAGTCTATCTGGTCTTGAAGAAAGGCAATATTTGGGGCAACTTTGTATAGACTGAGAGTCAAGTTAGGGTTGGGGTTAACAGTTTAAAACTGAAGAAAAACATCTGGGTTTTTAATAAGAATGCTCTAATATTTAGTAAGCCTTTTTCCAGTTATCCTCAAATGTCTCTCGAGTTCTAACCAAAACTTAACTTGATGTGGAGGTGGAAATAAAAACTTTGGACCTGAGGTTATCTTAGAAGCTTCCTGGACTAAGAATGTTATAGCAGCTATTGTTCACAGGCAGCTAGCCAGTCCTGTGTTACTCCATCTAATAGCTTGTAAAAGCAAGCAACTGGTCAAGTTTTTTGGGGAGGGACAGGGGGGCCTGATGTTGAGTTAGCAGTCTTGTAGGCTACTCCTTGTCTTTCAGCCACAGAGAGGGAAAAAAATCTTAGGTAGGTCTGGGATTGCTAATGCAAGGGCCTACATCTAGGCCTGTTTTAAGGCCTTAAAAGCATCTTAAACAGCTGATGTCCATTTTTTAAGGGTTCAGTTTATGGCCTTCATGTTGTCTCATATAGTATTTTGGTTATACTCCAAAATGCGATATCTATATGTGGTAGAAGCCTGCCATTGCCAAGATAACCCTCAGGTTCTATCTGAACTCTGGGGGAGTCAGACAGCATATTGTCTGCGTTTTCCTTGTGGACAACTGTCTTTGTCTTAGAATTAAAACATATATCAGATATGTCACCTTTTCTTAAAAAACCTGGGCTTTGTGTTAGGACAGATTATAACACCATTTTGCTAGAAAATTGAGAGTCTTAATAGAATTTTTTATCATTAAACTCTGAAAATTATTTTTCTCTTACCTTGGTGTTCTCAAGTCTTTTAAGGGGTGAGATAGACTAGGGTCATTTAGTTCTGATAAACCTTGCAATACAGAAAATCCTTAAGTGATTATCACATTTTCTTGCAGAGATATAAGGCAATAGGAGACACAAAAATACTGCCTTTTCTAGTTCCCTTTCTAGGTAGAAAAATATCTTTATTTTTTCTATTATCTTACTTCATGAGGATCCATCAAAAGGACAAAGGAAGCGTTCTGTGATAACAAGACAGCCACATGTAAAAGAAGGAACTGGAATCATTCCTCACACCATATACAAAAATTAACTCAAAGGACATCAAATGCACAGTGGGGATCTAAAACTGAAACACTTGGAACAAGATATAGGGGTAAATTTTCACAACTTTAGTTTTTGCAAAGGTTTCTTAGACTATGTGTAACAAAACAAATACAAAATCAGGGCTTCATAAAAACTTAAAAAATTTGGAGCTTGAGTTATAGCTCAGTGGTACAGTGCTTGCCTGGCATGGGATCACTCACCAGCCCTGCAAATATTTCCTTTAATCTTTGCACATCAACATTCACCATCAAGGACATGAAAATACAGCTCTCAAACAGGAGAAAACATGTGAAAATAATTTATCTCAGAAGGTTCTGGTACCCAGAATATAAAAAACTGGTGCACTTCAAAAACTTCCTGGTGCACTTCCAGGGCACATATCAGATCTATAAATTAATTGAGAAAAAAGGGACAACTTCACAATGTTGATCCTCTCAA